GATGTAGAGCAGCTGAGATTCACACTTCAGCATTACAAAGAATTGATATAGCCAGAGGGCACACACACACACACACACACACACACACACACACACACACACACACACACACACACACACACACACACACACACACACACACACACACACACACACACACACACACTTCAGATGCTACAGACAGGTGAGTGTTAGTACAACTGCATTTCCTAGAATCAAAATTATAAAAGTAATCTGTTAAGTAAACGCCCTGCATTTAAAGTCTTACTTCTGTACAAAAAGTACGAGAGTATTGGCATCAAAACTTTACTAAAATGACGTGTGTTCATGAGCGAAACCCTGGGTGATAAAAGTCAAAGTGTATTCATAAGTTGATTTATATTTCATATTAGCTCATAATCTCTATCTGAAGTAAAAGTATAAAGCAGCATGAAATGAAAAGTACTCAGCTCAAGTACCTTCAAATTACACATGCAGTTCATTGGATTCCACTTAGGACATTAAACCAAACGCATTATTGAAACTAAAAATGCATTTAGGATCAAAGAAAATGCTAAATGGGTGAAATGTAAATATGGATGCAGACTGATACCTCATTCACACCAACGGTGTTTCAGGGCCGGTTCGGAGCTGGAGCTTGAAAAGCACCGGGTTTTCCTGTTCACACCGCAGCGGAGCAGCCTCTTAGCTCCGGAATCCGGTTCATTTCGAGCACCAAAAAATTGTCCGGCCAGAGCAAAAGCACCACATACATCACGCTTACGTCGAGGCGGGGGCAGGGGCAGGGGCAGGGGCGGGGTCAACTCCTGTTTTATCCAGTTTGTACACAATGATGGAGAAACTTAACAAGCAGCAGTGGTCCACTGAAGAGACCAGCTACCTACTGGGAATGTGGTCTTCCGAAGAGGTACAGATGAAGCTAGAGCACAATCGGCCATTGTTGTTGTTGTTGTCTGTGTCACTTGTGAGGGGTTTCCGCGCGGTTTGGCTTTATGAAGCAGGCACGCAAACGGTTGCGTCATGACGCAAACAATGACGCAATGACGCAGCACCAGTCGGACTCTGGGCTGTGTGAAAAGAGCCGGAGCTAAACCGAAGAACCGGTTCTGAACCTAAAAAGCTCTAGCACGGAGCTTGAACCGGAGTTGCGTTGGTGTGAATGAGGTACCAGTGGTACTTTGTACTTCTACTCCACCTCAATTCAGAGGTAAATATGGTACTTTTACTCCACTACATGTATTTAATATCTCTAGTTACTTTGCTGATTTGGATTGATAATGTAAAATATAATCAATACTGAAATAAGTTTTAACAGAATATTCCTACCCTTTTTTTATTTCTACTTTTACAAAAGTACAACAACTGAGTTCCTCTTCCACCACTGCTCCCTCCGAACTACTATTTGATTAGGACAAAGCAATAGGTTTTTTTTGCCCTCTTTTTTAATTATTGTATGTTTGGTTGAAAACAATATTGCCATAGTAAATTCTTAAACCAAGTATTCTAAATAAACTGTTCTTAATAGTTAATAGCTTACATCTGGTTTTACTTTTTGGGCAGTTTCCATTGTTGAACCTCTTACAGCATCAATAACACATTGAGTCAAATACCAGAACATAATACTCATCTTTGAATTCTCATCATGACGGAAGTTGTCTTTGAGCATACTGTAAGACCTATCATCTCTTGTGGTTTCTGTGTTTATTGACGCTCGCTGGTTCTTTTATATTGGCTTGGAAATTATATGCTTTTAAGTATTTTGGTCTTCTGTTTTTCTTCTGATGTTTCACTTAAAGAGATGACTTACCTTCTCAGAAATGTTAATTACTTATGTTTCATTTCCTGCCTTTACTGATCACACACTATAGAGTTACATGGAGGAAGAGACTCTCGAACGCCCTCCTGTGTTGAGGTGGCAGTGTTGTTTCAAATTAAACTAAGCCTAGACTTTTTTTAAACCGTTCATTTGACAATATTACTATAGACACTACTATGCAATGTTACAAACTGTATTGAGTACATTTATAATTAATTGTAGAAGAGTCTTTCAACATGCTTGAATGGTGATCTAAATTAAAGTTGTTTTTGTAGGGGCTTTCTTGATAAGATATTGTCCTGTTTCCGAAACCTCTGGTGGTCATAACTGTAACTCGTCATTATGGTAAAGGCAAGATTTCATCAAAACCAATTTATTATGGATTCAAGTTCTTTACATATATGTATGAACAACAATTATGAAGTTGTTGGCCATTACAATCTTGAATCTCAGTATCCCTCCAACAATGCTCATTAAATAAGTATTTTAAATATGATTTATGATATAAATATATGGACAGTATTGCAAATAAATTAACTGAATACTGAATTATATATATAAACAAACACAGAGATGTAAACTGTTTGTAAAACAATAAGTAAAGTATAACATAACAGTAGAGTGGATAAGAAATGACTATTGATAATCAGAATGGTATTATGTAGACTATAACCATTTTGCTTTGTTGCATGTTATAGGCTATCTTTTAGAGTTATGAACACTCACCGCCATGAATCTTGTAATTCTGATATCTATTCATGATTCTGCGGGCTGCACCATCAGTCATTGCTGCATTTCATACTAATTGAGTAAGCTGTGAGGAAGGTGATTTAGCAGGAACCTCTTCAGCAGCAGACCGTCTTCAGGGCCTGAAGCTACCAAGGTCAGCCATATCAGGAGAGAGAGCTGCCAATCATCTGCTAAATCCTCGAGGAGGATATTTCCATCTCAAGCTTGTGAGTGGAGACGGGGGAGACCACAGGGCCACAGGGGGGTGTCATTCCTAACAACAGCTCTGTATCATCCAGCCTGACAAAATACTTAGACAATCAATTTCTGCCCTGCAGTGGACAAGAGGCATGTGGGCTGCTTATCAGTTTAAGCTGAGAGGTTTCAATTACTTCAACGTTATGCAGATGTCTAAAGCTGAATGTGTGGTCTAGTAATGATTGTAGCCATTACTTCTGAATGTGCAAGCCTTAGGACCTCATACTTAATCTTGACCATATCTTTCTTTTTTTGTTATAAATGTCTACATTAGATCATATTGAGTAATAGCTGTAAACAAATGAATTGTGTTGTTGTAGAATCGATGGAAGGCATAATTAAAAATGTTTTATTTCCTGTAGTTTAAAGGTACCTCTCTTTGAGCAATGTATAATTATTTGATTTCCCACTGATTCAATTGATAGAGCAAAAAAAGAGAATGACATCAAGATTCAATGTTAAACAATTCAACGTGCTTTTAATACATTTACTGCAAAAATCTATGTGCATTGTCGCCCTCTTTTGGATTTGACGCATCACTACATCAACAATGAACGGCTTTTCAAGGACAAAGATAAACCCCGCCTCTTTGAATTTGATTGGTTTGGATTAGAATTCTGGCAGGTTCATTGGACACTCAAAATTACGTATAGGGAAGTGTGAAGGACGAAAACGTAGCCGGTGAGAAACGTGGGTTAACTCTTCTACATTTGTAGCTTATGTCGCTGTTATATACCGTTAT